AGACTAGATGAGTCAATCTGGGTGAGCAAAGGTACAGATTTCTAGTGATGAAGATGGTGGTGGCAGTGCATCATCATTATCATCATCCTCACAAATAGAATGTAAATATAGTGCATTTCCTTACCTCCACATTATCTGTACCGTATTTTCCGCACTATAAGGCGCACCGGAGTATAAGCCGCAGCAGCTAAATTGAATGATATTGAATGATGTGTACATATATAAGCCGCACTGGACTATAAGCCGCAGGTGTTTTAATGTTTAATTACCATATGTAAGGGTTCGTGCACAGAGGGGATTGTCGGGAAAGAGACAAACTGTCTTGCTCTCGTTCTGTCTCTCGTACCACTCTCGGTTCCACTTTTACGCGCTACCTGTCTCACTCTTTTCGGCCTCCAGCTTTTCCTGCTGGAGCCCGCGTTTAAAGGTGGGGGGCACGGACCGGTCATAGAGCCCATAGAGTTAAAGTTGGTGGACTGTAACCTGTAAAATCCATAGATTTAGGAGGTCTTCTAGTGGCCGTTAGCTGTAAAAATCCATAGATTAGCCGCACCGTTATATAAGCCGCAGGGTCGAAAATTGGGGAAAAAGGCGCGGCTTATAGTCGGAAAATTACGGTACTTATTTTCTGTAAAAAAAGAAAAACATTTAGACACAGTATTATTAATTTCTTTTTTTACAGAGTACACTGTACGACTTAGACATTTTTAACTTTTCAAGTGGCTGAAACTTCTGGGTGCCAATGATACTGTTATATTTACTGAAATAGAGAGTAGGGTAACCGGGGCAAAGAGCGAAGGACTTTCTCAAATATTTACACAAACATGGTCTCAAAGGTTAGATTTGTTTTTGGGAAAAATACAAATAAAAATATTAATCAAGTGTAATCAGTTTGCGCTGTTCTGTGAAGGAAGTAGTACACAGCATTGTACGAGAACTCCAGTTTCTTGGTAATTTCTCGCATGGAATAGCCTTCATTTCTCAAAACAAAAATAGACTGACGAGTTTCAGAAGAAAGTTATTTGTTTCTGGCCATTTTGAGCCTGTAATCGAACCCACAATTGCTGATGCTCCAGATACTCAACTAGTCTCAAGAAGGCCAGTTTTATTGCTTCTTTAATCAGCACAACAGTTTTCAGCTGTGCTAACATAATTGCAAAAGTGTTTTCTAATGATCAATTAGCCTTTTAAAATGATAAACTTGGATTAGCAAACACAACGTGCCATTGGAACACAGGACTAATGGTTGCTGATAATGGACCTCTGTACGCCTATGTAGATATTCCATTTAAAAAATCAGCCGTTTCCAGTTACAATAGCCATTTACAACATTAACAATGTCTACACTGTATTTCTGATCAATTTTATGTTATTTTAATGGACAAAAAAAATGCTTTTCTTTCGAAAACAAGGACATTTCTAAGTGACCCCAAACTTTTGAACGGTAGTGTGTTTCCCATTCCAATAAAGCCCTTACATTTTATTGAATTGAGAGAGAGAGAGAGCGAGAGAGAATGAGAATGAGAGAGAATGAGAATGAGAGAGAGAGAGTGAAAGAAAGAAGAGAGAAAGAGAAATAGCAACAGAAACTGAAGTGTTTTGAAATGTTTGTTTGTGTGAGTAATGATTGTCTAATGTGCCTGTAAAACATTCACACACTTTCTCAAAACATATTTTCCTGTTACAGCTGAATAGTGTGGAATATGCTGCATTGACTACAGGATTACTGCCAAAACAAATTATTACCGCTGTCCTCTTGTGAAAAACATTAACTCAGTGGTTCCAGTAAAAAGACTAGATGAGTCAATCTGGGTGAGCAAAGGTACAGATTTCTAGTGATGAAGATGGTGGTGGCAGTGCATCATCATTATCATCATCCTCACACATAGAATGTAAATATAGTGCATTTCCTTACCTCCACATTATCTGTACCGTATTTTCCGCACTATAAGGCGCACCGGAGTATAAGCCGCAGCAGCTAAATTGAATGATATTGAATGATGTGTACTATATAAGCCGCACTGGACTATAAGCCGCAGGTGTTTAATGTTTAATTACCATATGTAAGGGTTCGTGCACAGAGGGGATTGTCGGGAAAGAGACAAAACTGTCTTGCTCTCGTTCTGTCTCTCGTACCACTCTCGGTTCCACTTTTACGCGCTACCTGTCTCACTCTTTTCGGCCTCCAGCTTTTCCTGCTGGAGCCCGCCGTTTAAAGGTGGGGGGCACGGGACCGGTCATAGAGCCCATAGAGTTAAAGTTGGTGGACTGTAACCTGTAAAATCCATAGATTTAGGAGGTCTTCTAGTGGCCGTTAGCTGTAAAAATCCATAGATTAGCCGCACCGTTATATAAGCCGCAGGGTCGAAAATTGGGAAAATTACGGTACTTATTTTCTGTAAAAAAAGAAAAACATTTAGACACAGTATTATTAATTTCTTTTTTTACAGAGTACACTGTACGACTTAGACATTTTTAACTTTTCAAGTGGCTGAAACTTCTAGGTGCCAATGATACTGTTGTATTTACTGAAATAGAGAGTAGGGTAACCGGGGCAAAGAGCGAAGGACTTTCTCAAATATTTACACAAACATGGTCTCAAAGGTTAGATTTGTTTTTGGGAAAAATACAAATAACAAAATATTAATCAAGTGTAATCAGTTTGCGCTGTTCTGTGAAGGAAGTAGTACACAGCATTGTACGAGAACTTCAGTTTCTTGGTAATTTCTCGCATGGAATAGCCTTCATTTCTCAAAACAAAAATAGACTGACGAGTTTCAGAAGAAAGTTATTTGTTTCTGGCCATTTTGAGCCTGTAATCGAACCCACAATTGCTGATGCTCCAGATACTCAACTAGTCTCAAGAAGGCCAGTTTTATTGCTTCTTTAATCAGCACAACAGTTTTCAGCTGTGCTAACATAATTGCAAAAGGGTTTTCTAATGATCAATTAGCCTTTTAAAATGATAAACTTGGATTAGCAAACAACTTGCCATTGGAACACAGGACTGATGGTTGCTGATTATGGGACTCTAATCAGCCGTTTCCAGCTACAATAGCAATTTACAACATTAACAATGTCTACACTGTATTTCTGATCAATTTGATGTTATTTTAAAATGGACAAAAAAAATGCTTTTCTTTTCAAAAACAAGGACATTTCTAAGTGACCCCTAACTTTTGAACGGTAGTGTATATATGGTAGTGGTTAAGTGGCAAAAATGTTGGGTTAACTACTGTCAGAAAAATATATAATTCTGATCTGTCATATCTCTCAGATATAGGACAGACTTTAAAACAAACTTCCTTTTGATTTATTATTTGACAGTTTTTCCATGTTTTAATCTGTTATTCAATGTGTTTCTATGTGCTAATAGCAGTGAGGCCAACTTTAATGTTTCATCAAATCATAGGGGTCCTAAAATGCGAAGGATCATTTAAAACAATTCCATATGTAAGCTTAGCAGAACCCCAGACTAAATAGTTAACCAGATGGCTACCTGGACTATCTGCTTTGACCTTTTTGCACTAACTTTTTTTGACTCATCTCATACACTGCTGCTACTGTTTACTATCTGTCACTTTATTCCTAGTTATATGTACATATCTACCTCAATTACCTCAGCACTGGTAGCCCTTGTATAAATTATTGTTACTCATAGTGTATCTATTATTACGTGTTTTACTTTTTTATTATTTTGTTTCTCTCTGCATTGTTGGGAAAGGTCCGTAAGTAAGCATTTCACTGTTAGTCCACACTTTTTGCAGCTTTGAAATTGGCTACTAGTGGGAACTTACACATAACTGTCAATAACAAAACATCTGATTGGCTTGGAATAAAAACGTATGGATATAACAACCAGATGAATTGGTTAAAACATTAAACAGCAGAGATTTTTTATAAGAAAAATATCTCTATCCAAAGACGGAAGTGGGCTTAATGTGTAAGTGGGCATAATAGGTACGCTTACCCTAACAGTAGTTGTTTTAAAGAATGTGTTTTTCCCGCAATTATATTTTAAATTGTTGCTCAACGGTCATGTTCTTGCACTTATCAGAATGCATCTCTCCCTTCACTCTGTGCACAAAGGGGGGAGAGAGAGTGAGAGCTGGCAGTGAAACAGGGACAGGGCAGATACTTTCATTGCAGGAAGCAGGTAAATGCATATTACTGTTTAACAAAAACTGTTTTGGAACCAATAAATCTGCAGAAAAGTTGTGTAGCCTAATCACCGAAAATTACAGATGTAAGCAAAATTGCTTCAATAAGAGGAGGAAATGTCGGTGTCTGTAATTTTCGGTTTATCGTCCCAACTCTAAGTGCTATGGATGACTCATGAGTTACCCTCTGTTACTGAAGAAACCAATCACCTAGGTATCACAATAAGCTCAACCTTTGATACCAAAGCAACTCACAACTCTGGACTTGAAAAAACACTCCTTATAACGGATGGACAGTTTGTTTTTACAGTTTCTGATTCATAAGAATTCCCCCTGCTTGAGGCAGACTGTTAAATTACTTAATGTATGAATGTTTGTGAGTGTGGTTGTCGTCTCTGGTCTGTGGAGCAGATTGCAGGGCCAGGCCCACCAGGTTTACAGGCCAGTAAAGTGACTGGCCATGGGCACCGGGTGGAACGATTCACAGCCCAGAGACAGGCTCCTGCTGGTGCTGGGCAGAGTTTGTCTACATAGCCAGTGGAGGTCAAGGAGGACGTAGCTTAGCCCAGTGGCTACGTCAGCCTGAGGCAATGGAGGAGAGAGAGGCCAACACAGGGTTTGCAAGGAGAGGGCTTTTGGGGTAAGTAGGAGAGGTGGACAAGGCTCAGAATCAAATCAAGGACTTTAGTCTATATTCCTCCTAAGGATTTTCCCAAGCTCTTTCCCTAAACCAGCTTTTGTGTGTGTAATGTATGTGAATGAGTGTATGATTGTGCGTTAAGCATTTTGTGTCCATGACTTTATAAATGACCCTGTGTTAGTGGTGGGGTAAGGTCTTACCTCAGACTCTGAGTCGTCGTGGGAGAGTGCCCGTCTGTAGCGCACCTTACGGTTGCCCCGCACGTCCTCCCCCACCTCCCGCTCCTCCAGCTTGGCTTTTGTCCGCCCCTTCTTCATCAGGAAGTTATCTACCACCCAAAACATCAGGGCCTGAGGACAACATATGATACACAGCCCATTGAGCAAGAACACCACCAGACACACACATGACAGACAGTTTGATCACACACACACACACAAGCCTAATTGGCTAAAATCTGTCAACAAACATAAAATACACATAGTTGTAGCAAACAACAACCCATGAAGTAATACCATTACATATGATACTATGTTCTTAATTGAGCCCTGCCTCACAGAGGCACTGCACACTTAACTTACGTTAACGAAGAACGGGACGATGAGCATGACGATGGCCAGCTCCAACTGAGGATTGTTTATGGGGTTCAGGAGAGCCAGCTGTGACACACAGACACACAAATATGAGCACAACAAGCACACAAACAAGACAGGAAATACAAACATTAACACAGATGAGTTAAAACGACAGACAGTTTACAGTACTGTTATTATTCATACATTTTCCACAGGCATAATATAACTAAACTGATACAAATGGTCATAGGTCAGGACCCTGCCCATTATGCCCCCTACTCACCTTCTTCCACTGTGGGATGAGTAGGACCAGGATGATGAGGACCTTCTCAAACATCATGATGAGGATGTAGAGAGCACACTGGCCCGCCCACGCAGTGCACTGCACCGGCTCTCCTACACACACACACACACACACACACACACACGTCTTACTATACCTTTGAGGACTTTTTGGAGACCAACAATTGATTCCCATTCAAAATCCTGTTTTCCCTTACCCCAATTCTAACCCTAACTCTAAAATAGTATTTTACAAGTGAGGACTGGCAAAAATGTCCTCACTTCTCTGAATTTTTGTTGAGAATGGTTACATTTCTCCAGGTCCATCTCAGCCTTTTACTAAAACAGAAGCAGGGCGAATGCCTTGTTATTATTTCAACTGCAGATTGCGCCTCTAAATCAAAGAACCAGGGAAAGGTTTCGCTTAATGTGGCATCCATAAACCAACTCTGCCCGAGTTGAACAAGTTAACAGTGATCGACTGTGTTTGATCTGGATGACATTGCAGCACTGCAGTGCACGAGGTAGCCTCTGCCCTCTTCTGGACATCATGTGTACTACAGGGTGAAAGGATCTCTCATCCACACACACACACTCTCAAATCAAATCAAATTTTATTGGTCACATGCGCCGAATACAACAGGTGCAGACATTACAGTGAAATGCTTACTTACAGCCCTTAACCAACAGTGCATTTATTTTAAACAAAAAAGTAAGAATAAAACAACAAAAAAGTGTTGAGAAAAAAAGAGCAGAAGTAAAATAAAGTGACAGTAGGGAGGCTATATATACAGTAAAATAAAGTGACAGTAGGGAGGCTATATATACAGGGGGGTACCGTTGCATAGTCAATGTGCGGGGGCACCGGTAATATGTACATGTGGGTAGAGTTAAAGTGACTATGCATAAATACTTAACAGAGTAGCAGCAGCGTAAAAAGGATGGGGTGGGGGGGCAGTGCAAATAGTCCGGGTAGCCATGATTAGCTGTTCAGGAGTCTTATGGCTTGGGGGTAGAAGCTGTTGAGAAGTCTTTTGGACCTAGACTTGGCACTCCAGTACCGCTTGCCGTGCGGTAGCAGAGAGAACAGTCTATGACTAGGGTGGCTGGAGTCTTTGACAATTTTGAGGGCCTTCCTCTGACACCGCCTGGTATAGAGGTCCTGGATGGCAGGGAGCTTTGCCCCAGTGATGTACTGGGCCGTACGCACTACCCTCTGTAGTGCCTTGCGGTCAGAGGCCAAGCAGTTGCCATACCAGGCGGTGATGCAACCAGTCAGGATGCTCTCGATGGTGCAGCTGTAGAATTTTTTGAGGATCTGAGGACCCATGCCAAATCTTTTTAGTCTCCTGAGGGGGAATAGGCTTTGTCGTGCCCTCTTCACGACTGTCTTGGTGTGTTTGGACCATGATAGTTCGTTGGTGATGTGGACACCAAGGAACTTGAAGCTCTCAACCTGTTCCACTACAGCCCCGTCGATGAGAATGGGGGCGTGCTCAGTCCTCTTTTTTTTCCTGTAGTCCACAATCATCTCCTTTGTCTTGGTCACGTTGAGGGAGAGGTTGTTGTCCTGGCACCACACGGCCAGATCTCTGACCTCCTCCCTATAGGCTGTCTCATCGTTGTCGGTGATCAGGCCTATCACTGTTGTGTCGTCGGCAAACTTAATGATGGTGTTGGAGTCGTGGCTGGCCATGCAGTCATGGGTGAACAGAGAGTACAGGAGGGGACTGAGCACGCACCCCTGAGGGGCCCCCGTGTTGAGGATCAGTGTGGCAGATGTGTTGTTACCTACCCTTACCACCTGGGGGCGGCCCGTCAGGAAGTCCAGGATCCAGTTGCAGAGGGAGGTGTTTAGTCCCAGGATCCTTAGCTTAGTGATGAGCTTAGAGGGCACTATGGTGTTGAATGCTGAGCTGTAGTCAATGAATAGCATTCTCACGTAGGTGTTCCTCTTGTCCAGGTGGGAAAGGGCAGTGTGGAGTGCGATAGAGATTGCATCATCTGTGGATCTGTTGGGGCGGTATGCAAATTGGAGTGGGTCTAGGGTTTCTGGGATTATGCTGTTGATGTGAGCCATGACCAGTCTTTCAAAGCACTTCATGGCTACAGACGTCAGTGCTACGGGTCGGTAGTCATTTAGGCAGGTTATCTTAGAGTTCTTGGGCACGGGGACGATGGTGGTCTGCTTGAAACATGTTGGTATTACAGACTCAGTCAGGGACATGTTGAAAATGTCAGTGAAGACACTTGCCAGTTGGTCAGCACATGCTCGGAGTACACGTCCTGGTAATCCGTCTGGCCCTGCGGCCTTGTGAATGTTGACCTGCTTAAAAGTCTTACTCACATCGGCTACGGAGAGCGTGATCACATAGTCGTCCGGAACAGCTGGTGCTCTCATGCATGCTTCAGTGTTGCTTGCCTCGAAGCGAGCATAGAAGTGGTTTAGCTCGTCTGGTAGGCTTGTGTCACTGGGCAGCTCGCGGCTGTGCTTCCCTTTGTAGTCTGTAATAGTTTTCAAGCCCTGCCACATCCGACGAGCATCAGAGCCAGTGTAGTATGATTCAATCTTAGACCTGTATTGACTCTTTGCCTGTTTGATGGTTCGTCGGAGGTCATAGCGGGATTTCTTATAAGCGTCCGGGTTAGAGTCCCGTTCCTTGAAAGCGGCAGCTCTACCCTTTAGCTCAGTGCGGATGTTTCCTGTAATCCATGGCTTCTGGTTGGGGTATGTACGTACGGTCACTGTGGGGACGACATCATCGATGCACTTATTGATGAAGCCAGTGACTGATGTGGTGTACTCCTCAATGCTGTCTGAAGAATCCCGGAACATGTTCCAGTCTGTGCTAGCAAAACAGTCCTGTAGCTTAGCATCTGCGTCATCTGACCACTTTTTTATTAGCCGAATCACTGGTGCTTCCTGCTTCAGTTTTTGCTTATAAGCAGGAATCAGGAGGATAGAGTTATGGTCAGATTTGCCAAATGGAGGGCGAGGGAGAGCTTTATATGCGTCTCTGTGTGTGGAGTAAAGGTGGTCTAGAGTTTTTTCCCCTCTGGTTGCACATTTAACATGCTGGTAGAAATGAGGTAGAACGGATTTAAGTTTCCCTGCATTAAAGTCCCCGGCTACTAGGAGCGCTGCATCTGGATGAGCGTTTTCCTGTTGATTAATGGCCTTGTACAACTCATTCAGTGCAATCTTAATGCCAGCATTGGTTTGTGGTGGTAAATAGACAGCTATGAAAAATATCCTGATCCTCACCGTATTCTCCAAAGCGTAGAGCGTCCCACTGCCTCCACTCTACAATGGCACTGACAGCCCTCACCCCGGCATAGATCAGCAGCATGCCCAGAGACGCATCCAGGAGGAAGTTAATAAGGTAACTGAGGAAGAGAGATGAGACATTATCCACTTCAAAGTTGAGGTGGACATAATGTTATAAAGAGACTATACTACATACACACAAATACAGAGGCATAGTCATACGCACAAAGACAGACAAACAATGACTGATGGACACATACAAATATAGACAGACACACTCACAGTGAGCAGGGGTCCTCCTCTGTGAGGTCAGACAGGTAGACATTGGCAAAGTGAATGAACAGCATCCCAATGGCCTGTTTGGAGGTGTCCAGGAACCTGGAAGAGTTGGCCGGGACAGGAAGATATTTTAAAAACTCTTGAGCATTCAAGTTACTTCAAAAGCTGAACATAACATTACAAACATGCACCAGTCTTGTGTTTATCTTAGTTGCATTTCAGTATACACATTGTAACTAGGAAGCAATATTGAAGAGGATAAGCTTGAATACGCTGGTTGGGAGTGGGTGTGAGATGGCTGCTGTCTTACCAGATCCTCCAGGGTCTTCTCTCATGCTTGGGCTCCCTGAAGCGCTTTACTGTGGACAGGAGAGAGACAGAGAGTCATATATAGGCCTGTCGTAGTCTTTCTCACACAGACACACACGACAGCAGTAGGATGAATCAGTACCTCTTTGTGTACCTAATTATATCAAGGAGCAAACTCAATCATCCTATTCATGTAAATTAATTTAGGACAGCTCAAGTCTGAACTTAAATAGGCTTTATACTTTCATCATCAAGTTTAGTATGATGGTCAACATATCAGCACAAAATGTAAGGGGCCTATTTCTATGAGTATTGGCCAGTGTGATGGGAAATGCAGTTCAGTGTTCGCTTTTAAATAGGCTACACCTGACACCATAGCCTAACTAATACACTTAAGACTGAAGCAAACAATGTTCATTAGGCTATATTCTCTTAACAAGTCAGCTATTGAGATGCCATGTTTACACAAGGTGAGACTATAGACGAAGGGTGAATGGTAAAAGAGGAAATGGCACACTACTATACTGTATATTATGTACTAAAATTGTAGTCAAGCTGATGTCACTGTGCCTATCATTATCAGCCAAATCTCGCTCGTCCTGTGAGCTGAGGAAATACTTGGGTTATTTCTTATGAGCTAAAAGAAATGTGCCATCTAGTGCCTTTAGCACTAATCAAGAGGGCCTGCTATTGCTAAGAGTATGTGACACCAGCCATTGTCATATTACATATCACACTGTCCTGACCACGTGACTGGTATATCAGTGACCTGAATCGTTCAGCATTATCACCTGGATTACCAACCTGGCTATGGAAGAATGGGGATGAGATACTGTAGGTTGGAGAGTGTGTTCAAACATTGTTCCCTACAGACACAATAGCCTACATGAAAGACAAACTGCCTGACTGCTACTCTGGGGTTTAGGCCCCTATGTGTACAAGACGCACAAGCCACTGGGTTCTTTTAAAATCTAGGCCTACACTTTAATTAATCCCTGTGTGAGTGTGTGTATTTTCTCAACGTGACGTAATGGCTGACAAATAAAGCTCTGGCTGTTCCCAACAATAGTCATCTTGTTTCCATGCCCCCCCCTTCTCCTAACCTCCATTACACACGATTGATTGCTGGGTGAGAAGTGGTTCAATGCTTTATGACTCAACTAGTCACTAATCTACCGGACATTCCCTAATCCTCAATTTGTGTTTCAGCTATGGTACCACTAGACAACAATCTCCTAGTGTGTGTTAAGCACTTTACTGTGTGCGTGCATGTGTGTCTGTGTAAAGTATGTGTCTATGTCGCCTGTCAAAATGGGAGCTGGTTTTCCTAGTGTGATGCCCAAACAAATGTTTACAGTGGAATGTTAATATGGGTATGCTGTGACTTCAGGCTCCCTCATACTACTCTGTTATTTGTATGGAGTGTGTAACTACTGACACACCCTGCATGTAAGCTGGGCTGTGTGACTGATGCAAGCCTAGGCCCAATCAATTCCTGACAAGAAAGCTGCATCAGGCATCAACACTGCTCTGAGAGCTGAACATTCCTCAACTCTTGCTGCTGTGACTGAAGTTCCTCTTTACCAGGGCAACACTGACAATGACTCAAAGGTCAAAGAGGAGGACAAACTACATTGCCAAAACGGAACACTACAGGGATGGGACAACATAGATACTTTGGACAGAACAGGCAACTGTCCAATCCAGTCTTTTGAGACACAGTGAATGCCATGACTGCCAGTGATTCTTGCCGATCGAAAACAGACAGACATCAATTAAAAACAAGTAGCCTAAGCAGGTTATCCAATTTCAACACTGCACAGTGAAATTCAATTTTACATTAAGCCTATACTGAACAAACTACAATAAAGAAGTCACATTTCCACAGTCAGAGTGGGCGTCTGGCTGGATGTACTCACACATCAGCGTACTGAAGGCCACCATCGCTAGCAGGCCTTGCAGGAAGATGCCGAAAGAGTCCATCAAGGCACCGTTCTCGCAGCCACGGGTGTCCGCATCTGGCGTGGGGTTGGCGGACAATGACGTATTGGAAGAGGACATAGCAGCCAGAGCCGCTCCCGGGGCATCCACGTCCCCGGCCTGAGAAATAAGACTCACCCCGCTAACAGCCATAGATGACCAGATAAAACAAATGGGTTGTTGGGGTGATGGCATATAGGTAGATAGCCAAGCAATAACTTCAATTTAAATGTCTCATCCACATAGAATGGGTTTCTTCGTTATCCAGTTGTTGTTAGCTAGCAATCGATTAGCTAGTTATGCAGACAATATCGGTAAAAAAAAAACAGAACGTTAACTTAACTAGCCACTAGTAATGAAATATTCTCCCTTTAACTGCGGATCAATATCTTCTCGTTGCCTATGTAGCCAGTGTCAGCAAACACATGTCATTACTGATAATCCATATTAATCCCGAATAGCCACAAAAGAACGAGTTACATACCATGCGTCAGCGTCTTCTTGGTTTTATGACAAATTAAAACCCAAACTGTGGCTACCTAACGTTAACTAGTTAGCCAGATACACAGGCAAGCATGGACAAGGTTTAGCTATGCTTCACGCATATACCACACTAACATGCATGTAGCGACGCAATGTTTTACTAACGGAAACATTAGCAACAAAGTTGCATTTAACATCAGTCGTGCAAAAAATGAGGATTCATTACCAATAGATGTTCTTCATGTCATTTTAGCAGTGCGCGAGAGGGTTAACGTTAGCTAACAAATGAAGCTAGCTAGCTACTGTTGGCTAATTTCGGCTGTCTGTACCAATTAGCTAGCTATGTTATCAAGCTCCTTGAGTAAATACAACTGTTTCGCTCTAATATCGCGTCAGGTACAAACCACCAGTTATCATTTTAGCTAGCCTAACGTTACCAGGGTGATGCAAATCGTTGCTAACGCCGGTAATTTAGCTAGGCTGGCTAGCTACCTAGCTAGAGCGCTAGCTACCTAGTCTGGTTCAGTCCAAGTACTTGCAATTGATCCCTCCCTCCTGCATGTATGAAATGCATGATATTGATCTTCTCACGACTTCAGACGTTCTACTTGTTTCTTTGAAAAAGCTGTTTAGCATAAAATAACTATGAATACTTCGCTCGATGACCAGAGTATCCAGTCCATTCGTTGCATAGCTAGCTACCACTAGAATTCCAAGCTGCATCCCTTCTGTTCCCATACTGCCCACTCATGTTGACATGACGTAAAGGTTAATGTGCTCGACGTGACAACGGGATCATGGGAAGTGTAGTAAAGATCTTGAAACTCATGGGGATGAGAGTCAGGTTTTTATTCCATATTCTCTTAAATATCATATTCCACAAACATATAGATACAATCAAATGAATCAATTCCACTATTTTATCTCCTGTAAAATATATTTGATCTCAGTGGCAGAGATGGATAAATGAGGGAAACTAAAAACTAAAACAGCAAAGAGTTAGTTGGCTCACGAAAATAAAATACCACACAATATCCAGTAGTCTACCAAGGGTTGTAGTAAAAAGGTAAAACTATCAAATTTGAATTCTGCTCTAAAAACACCTACATCCAAATGCTTTTACCACATGCCCTAATGTCTTCAATATGATAAGTTCAAATCTTTCTCAGAGAAGATGAAAGGCTGTTTTGAAAGAAGGCCTTCACAGATACTTTCAAAGCAAATATGTTTTGTAGAAAATCAAGCTATAACCATTAATCACCCTGTTGTACTAGAATAACTTTTAAATATGTACACTATACACAAATACACCCTGCTAGATACACATTGCATACCACAATTTAGTCCAGTGGTTTATTTGTCTTTGTGCTTAGATCCTTGCATTGTCCATGCTTGCAAGTTGATTAAATGAAACCAGGAGTCATTTTGAGACTGTGGGCGAAATAAACCTGAATATGAATTTCCATGTGAGGTGTCTTTACCTAGAATAAAGCGGGGCAAAACCCTCTCTGACCATACAGTAGAAATAGCAAAGAAACAGGAAACAATGGAAGTCTTGACTCATCTGATGTCCATGCCTGACTGCTGCTGTTGAGCTGGGCCTGGGTGCAGGGTCCAAAGGATGTCCAGTAAATCAGTTATGGAATCATTTCAGGTTACTGACTATGTAATGTTTCTCTTAGTTTAGAACCCTCAGCTACGTAGCAAATTGCTGGTAGAATGCCAGTTTGACCCTTTCGATATGGTGACACAGCTTTATGGCTGGTCCCAGTTTCAGGTCCATACACTCCTGCACCGTGGGCAGGTTGAGAAGGAGCAGAGCCTGTCCATCAATCTCCTGAAAACACAAGCACAGCCATGGGGTTAGACAACAATGGTCATGGATTTAGACCACAGTGTAAACACAGTTACACAGTCAAGATAATTGTTTGTGTTTGTGTGTGTGTGTGTGTGTGTGTGTGTGAATATACAGTACCAGTCAAAAGTTTTAGAACACCTACTCATTCCAGGGTTTTAAATTACAGACAGTGTTACCAGCAAAGCACCATCACACCTCCTCCTCCATGCTTCACGGTGGGAACCACGCTTGTGTAGATAATCCGTTCACCTACTCTGCGTCTCACAAAGACACGGCGGTTGGAACCAAAAATCTCAAATTTGGACTCATCGAGACCAAAGAAAAGATTTCCACCGGTCTAATGTCCATTGCTCGTGTTTCTTGGCCCAAGCAAGTCTCTTCTTATTATTGGTGTCCTTTAGTAATGGTTTATTTGCAGCAATTCGATCATGAAGGCCTGATTCACGCAGTCTCCTCTGAACAGTTCATGTTGAGATGTGTCTGTTACTTGAACTCTGTGAAACATGTATTTGGGCTGCAATCTGAGGTGCAGTTAACTCTAACTTATCCTCTGCAGCAGAGGTAACTATGGGTCTTCCTTTCCTGTGACAGTCCTCATGAGAGCCAGTTTCATCATAAAGCTTGATGGTTTTTGCGACTGCACTTGAAGAAACATGAAAAGTTCTTGACATTTTCCAGATTGACTGACCTTCACGTCTTAAAGTAATGATGGACTGTCGTTTCGCTTTGCTTATTTGAGCTGTTCTTACCATAATATAGACTTGGTCTTTTACCAAATAGGGCTATCTTCTGTATACCACCCCTACCTTGTCACAACACAACTGATTGGGTCAAACGCATTAATAAGGATATAGATTCCGCAAATTAACTTTTAACAAGGCACACCTGTTATTTGAAATGAATTCCAGGTGACTATCTCATGAAGCTGGTTGAGAGAATGCCAAGAGTGTGCAAAGCTGTCATCAAGGCAAAGGGAGGCTACTTTGAAGAATCTCAAATCTCAAATATATTTTGATTTGTTTATCACTTTTTTGGTTACTACATTATTTCATATGTGTTATTTCATAGTTTTGATGTCTTCACTATTATTCTACAATGTAGAAAATAGTAAAATAAACCCTGGAATGAATGAATGAATGAATGAATGAATGAATGAATGAATGAATGAATGAATGAATGATATGTATGTATGTATGTATGTATGTATGTATGTATGTATGTATGTATGTATGTATGTATGTATATATACAATTATTACCTGATCCAGGAAAATGCGAGCCAGGGGAGCACAGTCGGTGGTCCTGATGAAACGCACCACATCAGTCACACTCCACTCCAGGGGACTGGTGTCCAAACACAGCTTCTGGGGAGCCTCACCTCTCGAGTGCTGCAAAACACATGCAAGACACAAAGATGCAGTTAATTATGGTGTTTATCTTTAACAGGGACAATAAGGTCTAGACAATGCAACGTACTATATATTAACAGTGAACAAACAAGAAGTCAAAGCACAGTAGTTTACCTTTGGTGAAGGTGGGTGATTTTCATCATCAGAGTAGGATGGGGAGCGAGGTTTCCTGCGCTTTCGGGTTGGCCTGGGCGTTGTGGGAGGAGACGGGGACGGGGTGGGTGGTTGTGACTTCCCAATGGAATATTCTGAATCATCCTGATCATCCTGGAGTTCAGAGCCAGTATCGTCACTCAGAGAGTCATCATCCAGATCCTCCTCCTCTCCACTCCCCTGTGTTAGAGAAAAGGGATGGTTCAGTTTAAAGATGTCTGGGTGTGTGTGTGTGTGTGTGTGTGTGTGTGTGTGTGTGTGTGTGTGTTACCTGTGGTGAACCGGCAGGTGTGTTGTCAAGTGAGGCTGAGGAGCGTCTCTTCTTATGGACGAAGAGTTGCTTCCTCCTCTTCCTCCTCCTACCTCTCATCTTCACCCCCCCTTCCAGGTTAGAGTGCCCCCCTGGTGGGCGGCCAACTCGCCTACTCTTCTTCTTACCATAGTAATAAGCTGCAGAGAACAAATCAATATTACAATCTTAGTCCTCCTGAGCATTATGCATCCAATACTTTACCATAGACATAGATGCATAATGAAGTACACATAAAAACAGACACTGGTTCCCCTATATATTTTTTCCCTGCATATCAGCTTTGAGTGACCCTTTATCTCAATAACACCAGATGTTTTAATACCAGTTTTCACAGATATGCATTTGATCTAGAGTGACTGATTAGGTGCTTGACTTGGGCAGGGGCTCACCGGAGCTGAGTAAGGCACCTCAAATGTTCTACTGCTTGAGCTCCTGTCCCGCTTCTAGAATATTAGCTCAAAAGTATTGTGGAGCACCTGCATCTAAATATAAACAGTACCCAAAATGAGTACCGGCACCTACTGTACCAGTCAAAAGTTTGGACACACCTACTCATTCAAGGGTTTTTCTTTCTTTTGATTATTTTCTACATTGTAGAATAATAGTGAAGACATCAAAACTATGAAATAACACATATGGAAACATGTAGTAACCCAAAAAAGTGTTGAACAAATCAAAATATATTTGAGATTTTTCAAAGTAGCCACCCGTTGCACACTCTTGGAATTCTCACAACCAGCTTCATGGAATGCATTTCAATTAACAGGTGTGCCTTGTTAAAAGTTAATTTGTGGAATTTATATCCTTATTAATGCGTTTGACCCAATCAGTTGTGTTGTGACAAGGTAGGGGTGGTATACAGAAGATAGCCCTATTTGGTAAAAGACCAAGTCCAGATTATGGCAAGAACAGCTCAAATAAGCAAAGAGAAATGACAGTCCATCATTACTTTAAGACATGAAGGTCAGTCAATCTGGAAAATTTCAATAACTTTTAGTTTCTTCGAGTGCAGTCGCAAAATCTATCAAGCGCTATGATGAAACTGGCTGTCATGAGAACCGCCACAGGAAAGGAAGACCCAGAGTTCCCTCTGCTGCAGATGATAAGTTAGAGTTAACTGCATCTCAGATTGCAGCCCAAATAAATGCTTCACAGAGTTCAAGTAACAGACACATCTCAACATCAACTGTTCAGAGGAGACTGTGTGAATCAGGCCTTCATGGTCGAATTGCTGCAAAGAAACCACTACTAAAGGACACCAATAAGAAGAAGAGACTTGCTTGGGCCAAGAAACACGAGCAATGGACATTAGACCGGTGAAAATCTGTCCTTTGGTCTGAGTCCAAATTTGAGAATGTTGATTCCAACCGCCGTGTCTTTGTGAGACGCAGAGTAGGTGAACGGATGATCATTGCATGTGTAGTTCCCACCGTGAAGCATGGAGGAGGTGGTGTGAGGGTGCTTTGCTGGTGACACTGTCTGTGATTTATTTAGAATTCAAGGCACACATAACCAGCATGGCTACCACAGCATTCTGCAGCGATACGCCATCCCATCTTGTTTGCGCTTAGTGGGACTGTCATTTGTTTTTCTACAGGACAATGACCCAAAACACACCTCCAGGCTGTGTAAGGGCTATTTGACCAAGGAGAGTGATGGAGTGCTGCATCAGATGATCTGGCCTCCACAATCACCCGACCTCAACCCAATTGAGATGGTTTGGGATATGTGGGAACTCCTTCAAGACTGTTGGAAAAGCATTCCTCATGAAGCTGGTTGAGAGAATGCCAAGAGTGTGCAAAGCTGTCATCAAGGCAAAGGGTGGATACTTTGAAGAATCTAAAATATATTTTGATTTGTTTAACACTTTTTTGGTTACTAAATGATTCCATATGTGTTATTTCATAGTTTTGATGTCTTCACTATTATTCTACAATATAGAAAATACTAAAAAGAAAGAAAAACCCTTGAATGAGTAGGTGTGTCCAAACTTTGACTGGTACTGTATTTCAGTCCAAGTCAAGCACTGGTGACACATACTGTATTTGGTCTTGGTGAGCACAGAACAGTTCTCTGTGCAGCGCTCCAGAACCATGCGAGGTCCGAACAGGTTTGGGCAACACTCCAGCTTGATGCAGGTCTTCCTACAAAACTCAGCCACGCAGTCTGCTGTACGCACTATCTCCACTGTAGCCCGGTAACTCTTTCCCTTGTACCTGCCGGTCAAAAACAGATCTTCAGGTTAGCAACGCTAGGAACGCTTAGCCAGGCCCAGTACACACTTTAATCATCAACTCAATCACAAATATGAGCAGAAAAGTTACAAAGTGCATGAGGTGATCTTAATGACGTTATGATAGAGAATGTGTTCCTCACTTGGCTTTGAGCGTCTCTCCATGGCCGTGCCAGCGGCCCTCCTGGTCCAGCTGCAGTTCCCTGAGCACCCGGCTGGGCTTGTAGGCAGAGTTGATCAGCAGAGTCAACACCTGGACAGCACACAGGGAGACGGAGAGAGACATGAAGGGGTTAGCATGGATACTATTCCCAGTCTAAGTGGGACGTGAGAAGGGATCTTTTGGCATACTACAATTTCGCCCTATTACCAACTGCCCTTAGGAGATTTTAGTTTACTTTGGAGTATATTGTAATATATAGTTATAACACTGTATAGTATAGTTGTTCCAATCCCACTCAGGTGCTCCTCACCTCTTTGAGCACCAGAACACAGTTGCCAGGGCCGACAAACTGGGGAAGCTCAGCGATGCGGCCCTTGTTCAGGTAGGGGCCAGAGAAGCAGCGGTGGTTGAAGTAGATCTTGGGACAGCAGTACTTCCCGTTCCCCTGTCCTGTACACAAAACAACACACACAATGTAAGAGCTGTGCCTCACCTTAGAAACAATCCTAATGTATTTCTCCAGGATGTCTAGATGAGAAAGAGAACACTCACCAGTTGCTGATTGGCTGGTCATCTGCTGCTTGAGTGAGTCAGGTGTTGAGGATTTGGGTGGTGCTCGGCTTTAGGGACAAAGATACAGGTTAGGGGTCAAAGTGCATGGGATTAGAATGTTAACCAATCAAAAGTGGACAAACAGCCAATGATAGAGTCCTTCCTTTCCCATAGGCCTACTTACTGTTTCTCAGGCTGCACCACAGCAATCCTCCTCTGCTTCTCAACTGTAAGACAATGTATAATCACCATGAATAAAACTACTAAAACTATACACGGTACTGTCAAATATGGTGACTGCAATATTAACACTTCCATGCATATTGTGGCATGGCACCCCTTCAGATTAGAGAGGAACACAGAGGGATACTATTTTGGGACGCCCACCTTCGGGCTTGATGGGGTACAGCAGAGGGTAACCGTTGGTCTCACACCAGCTGACAGGGAAGATGTCCAACGAGTCCACATGAGCTATAAGCTCTGGCATAGCCTGTTTCAGCCCTGGACACACAGAGAGAAAAATGATGTAGACTTATTAATGATCTAATATCAATACCATCATTGTGAACAAGCTCACAATTAAATGGTCTCAAACTAAGCTTTAAAAATGCAGGGCCCAGATATGAGGCATAGCTACAGGTTCTCACCTTCCAGGCCAAGCCAGATATGTTGCCCTTTGACCTTGGTTACTGATGCCACGTGAATGTGTTCAGGTGAGAGTGGGTTGACCGCTTCCAGCTTCATGGCCTCTTTAAAGCTGTGATCAGACTGTTCCTGAGATAGAGAGACATCAGGAGAGAGAGATTATTCATTGTCCCGGTTCACCCATGCTATACAGTGGGGGGAAAAAGTATTTAGTCAGCCACCAATTGTGCAAGTTCTCCCACTTAAAAAGATGAGAGAGGCCTGTAATTTTCATCATAGGTACATCATTTTCATATAGGGAAAAAAATCCAGAAAATCACATTGTAGGATTTTATGAATTTATTTGCAAATTATGGTGGAAAATAAGTATTTGGTCACCTACAAACAAGCAAGATTTCTGGCTCTCACAGACCTGTAACTTCTTCTTTAAGAGGCTCCTCTGTCCTCCACTCGTTACCTGTATTAATGGCACCTGTTTGAACTTGTTATCAGTATAAAAGACACCTGTCCACAACCTCAAACAGTCACACTCCAAACTCCACTATGGCCAAGACCAAAGAGCTGTCAAAGGACACCAGAAACAAAATTGTAGACCTGCACCAGGCTGGGAAGACTGAATCTGCAATAGGTAAGCAGCTTGGTTTGAAGAAATCAACTGTGGGAGCAATTATTAGGAAATGGAAGACCACTGATAATCTCCCTCGATCTGGGGCTCCACGCAAGATCTCACCCCGTGGGGTCAAAATGATCACAAGAACGGTGAGCAAAAATCCCAGAACCACACGGGGGGACCTAGTGAATGACCTGCAGAGAGCTGGGACCAAAGTAACAAAGCCTACCATCAGTAACACACTACGCCGCCAGGGACTCAAATCCTGCAGTGCCAGACTTGTCCCCCTGCTTAAGCCAGTACATGTCCAGGCCCGTCTGAAGTTTGCTAGAGTGCATTTGGATGATCCAGAAGAGGATTGGGAGAATGTCATATGGTCAGATGAAACCAAAATATAACTTTTTGGTAAAAACTCAACTCGTCGTGTTTGGAGGACAAAGAATGCTGAGTTGCATCCAAAGAACACCATACCTACTGTGAAGCATGGGGGTGGAAACATCATGCTTTGGGGCTGTTTTTCTGCAAAGGGACCAGGACGACTGATCCGTGTAAAGGAAAGAATGAATGGGGCCATGTATCGTGAGATTTTGAGTGAAAACCTCCTTCCATCAGCAAGGGCATTGAAGATGAAACGTGGCTGGGTCTTTCAGCATGACAATGATCCCAAACACACTGCCCGGGCAACGAAGGAGTGGCTTCGTAAGAAGCATTTCAAGGTCCTGGAGTGGCCTAGCCAGTCTCCAGATCTCAACCCCATAGAAAATCTTTGGAGGGAGTTGAAAGTCTGTGTTGCCCAGCAACAGCCCCAAAACATCACTGCTCTAGAGGAGATCTGCATGGAGGAATGGGCCAAAATACCAGCAACAGTGTGTGAAAACCTTGTGAAGACTTACAGAAAACGTTTGACCTGTGTCATTGCCAACAAAGGGTATATAACAAAGTATTGAGAAACTTTTGCTATTGACCAAATACTTATTTTCCACCATCATTTGCAAATAAATTCATAAAAAATCCTACAATGTGATTGTCTGGAGAAAAAAATTCTCATTTTGTCTGTCATAGTTGACGTGTACCTATGGTGAAAATTACAGGCCTCTCTCATCTTTTTAAGTGGGAGAACTTGCACAATTGGTGGCTGACTAAATACTTTTTTCCCCCACAATTCATGTTATAACATGCATTGTTCTATGAGGCCATTTTTCAGACAGCGCTTGACTCACTGTGGGGAAGCAGTTTTGGGGTGCTGCCTCAGCCTCACACTGTTTCAGGTAGTCTGCCCAGTCAAAGTCCTGCCCCTGGTACCCTGAGAGAGAGAGAGAGAGAGAGTGAGAGAGAGAGAGGAGAGGGAGAGGGATACCACAATACAATTAGCTTAAAGTTTTAAAAGAAAGTTGAGCACAGTTTTAAAAGTAGCTCTGTAAATGTTACTAGTGTTTCCCGACCTGGTGGGGGGCTGAGCGGGAGGCCGTTCTTCAGGCTCCACTGGACGGGAAAGATCCTAGGACTGTCCCTGTGACACAGGAAGGAATTCCCACCGCCATCTGACACCAAATCATTACCACAGAGATTGTCCATCTTTACCAGGAAGTACTGGTCATTGAACACCTGAAGAGGAGAGGTCGGGTATCACATCATACTCATGTTGGCTCTATGCAGTAGTTACTCTACCCTTCCTCCATGACCATATCACAACCAAAGCTAGCCTTACATGCACTACCATACTGTATCTCACTGACAACACACTTCTGCTTGGAGTGGATAGACTTCCAGAGTGTACATGGGTACTATGTCAGGATTCATCTCTACTCTCCTAGCCCTGAGATGAACACTGATCTGAGTGGACCGAATAGGCAGCAACAATATGGTGGAAACTGTTGGGTGGAGTGCCTTCATTACTGTACAACCATCATCCAACCCAGTCATATGAATTCTGGTCTGGGAAGGACGTATTCAGACAAATCCAGGAGCCTGAGGAGAGAGGAGGACAGTAAAGAGGTTGTTACCTTGGTAACGGTGGCAGGACTGATGCAGAAAGGGGATGCAGGGTCAACAGCCTCCAGTTTCATCCCCTCAGTGAAGCAGTGGGCAGCGATGGGAGGCCGGTCCTGAAGCATTCACACACCACACAGTGATGGCTTGTTATATCAATATTGCACAGGTATTCCACAGACTTGTAATGTTAGTACATAATGCTTGGTAGTGCCTTCACCTTATAGAACTCCTCAAAGAGGGCTTCACCATGAGGCTGATCAATCATCCTCTGTCTGACCTCCTCCCACTTCTCCTCTGTGTGCAGGGGGACCAGGGCTGAAAAAAGCAAGCACACACACAAATTATCATGTTAAACAGTAAAAACCGCAACCTCCGATTTATTCAAAAATCATATTTTGCTTTCTGCATCGTAACCCTTTGATGCGTAAAATGACATATTTGTGATCATTGTTGAGTGGTCCCTGCAGCGTACCATTGCAAATATGTGGTTGGAACAGTAGCAACAGAACGCATGATGCAACAAACGTGCCTAAACGGCATTGTTGTCTGAAAAGCATCAAAACATTGTTTTGTACTGATGGGAAATAAAAGGTATTCACAACTTTATTCCTCAATTTCACCTTTTATTGTAAAAGATAAATGCGAACTTCATCATCCAAGCGTCACACGGAACGCATCCACAGCCAAACTCATTCCATAAACCAGTCTAAATAACAGGTTGCGCTGACAAAAACAACAACAACCGGTTAGCGACCTAACAGCTAGAATTGTTTACAATGTACCACATCTCTGGTGAGCACATGGAGAAACGTAATATTGTTTAGAAAAGAGATGCGTGTCAGCTAAGCCAACAGCGGCTACATTCTTTATGATGGCAGCCATGTTTGTTTATGTTTGACAAGTGAAAACTCCGTAATCCCAGAATGCCATTCACTATAAAACACAAATAAATAAAGTCAAAGTGAAAGATGGCTGCGCCAAATATGAACTTAGTTTGGCCACTTTCAGCATATTATAAATATTCGATGTAGTTGTTACAGTGTATACAAGAACCGGAGCACATGACCTGGTAAGTCGTTTACAGTGTTTGACAAATCACAAAGCAAATAAAATGTTATCACCTCACAGATCATCACCCCAAATACAAGCCTACTGCCTAGCCTAACCATAGTGCGAAAGCTAAACAGGGTTGCCAGATATAGTTGAAACCATTTTAGGATGGTTTGTGGTGGGGTTCATTTCATTTGTGGGGGATTTCAAGTCAATGAGGGGTAGAAATGGGGGAAGGTATCGTGGGGGGATATGATGCAGAAAATATTACTATGATGGGGGATATATCAATAAATGGGGGGCAAACACAGGATAAGTTTATCAGCTAAATAAAATTAAACTCTGGAAGGGGGGTATGAGCTGGCGGGGGGTATAAGCTGGCAACCTGGAGTAACGATAGCATTAGCTCATCATAATCAGTACAACCTTCCAGAAAGTATTTTACACACATCATACACTACATGACCAAAAGTATGTGGACACCTGCTCGTCGAACATCTCATTCTAAAATCATGGGCATTAATATGGAGTTGGTCCCCCTTTGCTGCTATAACAGCCTCCACTCTTCTGGGAAGGCTTTCCACTAGATGTTGGAACATTGCTGCGGGGACTTGCTTCCATTCAGCCACAAGAGCATTAGTGAGGTTGAGCATTGATGTTGGACAATTAGGCCTGGACAATTAGGCCTGGCTCGGAATCAGCATTCCAATTCATCCCAAAGGTGTTCGATGGGGTTGAGGTCAGGGCTCTGTGCAGGCCAGTCAAGTTCTTCCACATCGATCTTGACAAACCATTTCTGTATGGACCTCGCTTTGTGCACTGGGGCATTGTCATGCTGAAACAGGAAAGGGCCTTCCCCAAACTGTTGCCACAAAGTTGGAAGCACAGAATCATCTAGAATGTCACTGTATGCTGTAGCGCTAAGATTTCCCTTCACTGGAACTAAGGGGCCTAGCCCACACCATGAAAAACAGCCCCAGACCATTATTCCTCCTCCACCCCACTTTACAGTTGGCACTATGCATTAGGGCAAGTGGCGTTCTCTTGGCATCTGACAAACTCAGATTCGTCCGTTGGACTGCCAGATGGTGAAGTGTGATTCATCACTCCAGAGAACGCGTTTCCACTGCTCCAGAGTCCAGTGGCAGCGAGCTTTACATCACTCCAGCCAACACTTGGCATTACGCATGGTGATCTTAGGCTTGTGTGCGGCTGCTCGGCCATGGAAACCCATTTCATGAAGCTCCCAACGAACGACAGACGATGTTTTCGCAATACGCGCTTCAGCACTCGGTGGTCCTGTTCTGTGAGCTTGTGTGGCCTACCACTTCACGGCTGAGTCGTTGTTGCTCCAAGACGTTTCCACTTCACAATAACACGAACTGACTTGTTGGAAAGGTGGCATCCTATGACGGTGCCACGTTGAAAGTCAATGAGCTCTTCAGTAAGGCCATTCTACTGCCAATGTTTGTCTATAGAGATTGCATGGTGGTGTGCTCGATTTTATACGCCTGTCAGCAACGGGTGTGGCTGAAATAGCCAAATCCACTAATTTGAAGGGGTGTCCATATACTTTTGTATATATAGTGTGTCTCCATTACAATCTATGCAAGAATCGGAATGCATGATTTGTCACCAGTACTTGAAAACGTGAATAAAACAGTAAATCCATTATGCTCCATACATACATACAGTGTGCTACAGTAGAAATGACAAGACGATACAGAAACTATAATGATAAAGTAATAAGGAACTTACGTTGATAGGAACGCACACGTCCAAAGTTATTATTTGTAAGGAAAACAACAATCAAGGCAATGTGGCCGCAAGCTGGATAATGTCCCAGGAGATGACTGGAGATGCGCAAATGTCTGCATACTTGATCTGGAAACACTGGGGAAGTGCTTGGGCTCTCCTCCAAGGGAGAAGTTTGTCCAGTTCAGTAAAGCCTCAAACATAAATTGTCCGCAACAGTGAAACGGGCTACTCCTATGTGAATTAATGAGGAGGCAGAACACACCTCAATTCAAACTGTTGTTCAAAAGAAACACTTGTTAGAAAATCATTTGAAATTGACAAGTTGAAACATAGCCTATAGATAATTAGCAGGCAGCGTGCTTTGGTTTGAGGACAGCGCGGGTTAACTGTCCTGTTGCGTAACAATCACATTTTGGAACAGTGAGTGCATTCTGACATCACGCGCATAAAAAAACTCATGCTGGGGCGACCGTTAGAGATTTTTGGAACTCACGCGTGAAAAGGTTAAAATTGAATTTCCCCAAGGTCTTTTTGAAAAGATGATCAGCTTACCTGAAGGAGGCGTGAGGGTGCAGCCATGCTCCTTGGCCCAGCCAGGTGGGTGGAGGTGGGGGTGCAGGTAGTAGAGCCAGAGGGTGGAGTGTGTTTCAGGGAGCCCCTCTGTGCCCACTAGGCGTAGTCTCAGCCTGCCACCCACATTCTCCTCCACCTCAGCACCCCACGCCACCCCAGGGTCAACACGGTCCTGCAGCTCCACACTGCAGCCTGGAGACAGCAGGTCCACCGGGTCCTTACCACGCTGGGGCTACATACACACACACACACACACACACACAGACGTGTAAGAACTCACGTAAGGAGTTCAAAACCCATGCTTATCTGTCATACCTTCCCAGTTGTTCCAGTTTATAACTGAGCACCCCCTTACCCCTTCCAGAAGGTTGGCAGGTGCACTGCACTTCTCAGCCAGGGCTTTCTCCAGGACACCCTGCCAGTCTGGCTGCTTCTCTCTCACACCTGAGGGGGGCGATGGAGAGGCACGGTTACAGAATATGGAAAGAAGCCTCCGGAATTTCTTTAGAAAACCACGTTTTAGATTTCACTGTAATAACAGGGAGTGGAAAGATAATTATACAACTTCTTCAGATGAACTTTATTAATTTTTTAACAACACCCGTCCAACTGAGTTCCCTCCCCGGCCATAGTTCTCTTACCCTCGGGGGGTCTCATGGGTTTGCCCTGCTGCCGGCTCCAGCCCAGGGGGTGGAGGTCCGCCGTCATGATGTCACACCAGAAATCAGCGCGGCGGTCATCGTGGTAACCCTCATAGCGCAGGAGGAGCAGCTGGCCACAGGTGGTGATGATGGTCGCCAGCCAGTAGGGTTGGTCGGGCTCCGAACGCACACACACCTCCAGCTTCATACCTGGAGTCAGACCTGTCTGCATGCCCTGATCCACCTGGGGAGAATTAAATAGGAAAATATCTTATAAGGTGAATTTGGGATTAAGAGTGTGAATATTGTGTGTGGTTATGAGAGGAGTGTGAGCAGTCTCAATACTTACGTGTTTGAAGGCATGGTGGGGCACAGACACTGTCCCATTTTCCTCCAGATAGTCATCCCAGTTAAAGTCAGACACATGCTGACTAGAGTCCCCATCTGCAACACACACACACCAGTTCAGTTAATTTTGTTATGTTGAAAGCCCTCTTCACCAGTAACAAAGCTGTAGGTCCATGTTGTTTCTCACCAGACTCCAGCGACTCATGACTCATGTCGGCTCCTCCTACAAGCCAAGTCTAGAAGCTCTGGGGAAGAAAGGAGAGCTGGATTATTATTTGTGTTTGACAGCAAAAATCAGGAGAGCAAGTAAGAATAGTAGGTGGTTGTTAAAAGTGGTATAGCTGGTGAAAGGGATGTAATTTGTCCAGTGATTACATAACATTTTTGTGAAAGGTGAGGGGGCTTGCGAAATAAAAGCATAAACAAAGTTTAGTTAATGTGTGAGAGAGAAGTGAAACTGAGAATATTTAGGTAAGGGTTTTGAAAATACAAATTATCCCTCTTGCTAAATTTCTAAAAGCATGAGTGGGGCCTCTTAAAGAGACGACAACTTTGAACCAAAGTTGAGCTGTAGGCTTATAGCCAGAGTGACAACAAAGCATATTAAATAATTTAACATAAAAGAGAAATGGCATTTATATACTGAGCATGAGAGAGCATTGGAGATGACAATAGCTGATAGGTTTGTGTAAAGGATGCGGAGGATAGCTGCTCTGTCACTGCTGCTCCATTCAGCAGGGCTGTCAGACCAGTCTTTGTCAAATCTGATGTCTCTATTAAAGTAGAGACAGCCGTCAGACAGGGTCCTTCTGACCACCGCCCGGACACCGCGACCCAGGATCAGCCCATCCTTTCACCCACAACCCTGCCGCCCTCAGAGTACACACACACACACACACACAGAGCTATCCAACCAAGCCCAACTGAATCTTTGGACATTCACAGACAGCGTAAAGGGCCTCATTGTGCTGGAGGTCATACTCTGGTCTCACACTAGGGAGGATAAAAAGAGCAGCAGAGCCATTTAGCCATTTTCAAAGAGCCAGCCCTCAGTGTTGAGGTGTATTCTAATACCCGATGAGCCCAAAAAAGTATTCTAAAAGTTGTTGATAAAGATTGAAAATGTCAGCAAGTTTATTTTAATATGATATAGACAAATTAGAATGAAGCTGAGAAGGGAAGGATGAGGGGGTTGATGAAAGATTATTTTATTATGCTGACATTTCTGGGACTTCATAGCTCATTCTGTTTAACAAACTGTCACTTCATCACCAAAGTGAACAGGAAGACCAACAACTTCCCCTATCGTTTGAAAGAGACCTAGCCAGTACCCACACACACCACCAGGATGCCTGCCTGTTTGACTCTCTCCACCAGAAGATACACCAGCAGAAATACCCTGACTCGCCCTGAAAGAGAAACTAGAATGCATACACAAACACAAGCAGATTTTTAACATGCCACTGACTGAATGAAGTCCTGAGTGATCTCTGGGCAGGTAATGCAAGCAAAATAAATGCATTAATTGGACACACAAGGGTTTGAGAAATGTACTTTCAATTAAAGTGAAGTCTTGAGGACATGGGTTTATGTCAAGAATACAGTTAGACTATTGGGAGTATTTTCATCAAGTGGAACACAATTACAATAATATTAGCCTGTGTGTTTATGATTCCTTATTGTCAGCAATTCGCCTTCACATAGGCTACTTGTTATTTGAGAGATTGTATTTCAGGGTTACATGTTGCCTATGTCAAGTAGGGGCCTCGCACGTCAGAGGGCAGTGTTGGTGTCCCACTGTTGTTGCCCCAGTGTTGTTGCAGTGTTTAAACTGTTATTTGAACTGGATTTTTCGTGTAAATGGCCATAGAAGAGCCTGACCATAAATAGTTCCAACTTAATTAACCAATGGCAGATGTAAATATAAAAGTTAAGGAAAAAACACTTCGTATTGCTATTTCATCGACAAGTCAGAAGAAACAATTTAGCATTTTAGGCTATAGATGCACGTCAATTGAAACAATGTTGCAGTTTATTGCGGCAGGTCAATTGAAACAATGTTGCTGCGATCACTCAAGTTGCATAACTGGGAAGTTGGAGCTGTAGAGAAATAGGCAGCTTAGTGCTTAGGGTAGCCTACGTGGAAATGGCAATGTGTATAGGATAATTTAGGCCCTATCTGTTAGGCTTATTCAATCAACTACAATTAAAAAAATAAAAAATAAAAAAATAAAAAGATCGCTAGGCTATTTGTAAAATACACCCGCAGATGTCCATCAAGCTTGTGCAACCTTTATTATATAGGAGCGATATCCAACTAAATAAATGCATTAAGTACATTAACAAAATTTGAGGGAATTTCCGATAGAAGCTCAATAGGTTACTTAGCGCAATATGGATGTTAACGCAATAGCTTTGAACGCACGAGCACCGATGATCCAACTTTCACACTGGAACGTGCACTAAAGAGAAGAACACCGAACGCAATAAAGAACATGTATTTCATAGCCTCTCTGTGTTTATGCCATATAGGTCAGTTCAGATGCCAACCGCACCGCAGTAGAATGCGGCTGATTCCGCACATGCTAAAAACGCCTGTGACTAAGTCAAGTTACTGAACGTCATGGCTTGAGCGATAGGCTATACTAAGCAATACCGGCGCTTGCACTCGACCGAGCCCGAGTCATCTTTTATAGAGACGGGAAAAAAGACGCAGACAGCACCAAAATGTATTATATCATATTAAGATCTTAATAAACAAAATATTGTATGTGAGTATTTGGTCACAAAATCTGATTCTTACCAGTAAATAGTTTTTCAAGTCGGTTTTAGATGCCGTCTCTTTCCGCCTAGTCGTTCACGACCTCATTCCAATATGGCACAAACTGCCACTGCGCATGTTCTGCCGCCTATATCTACGTTCTAAACCCGAGTAGCTGATATTGTCGGCGTTGAGAATAAAAACATGACTTCCATCTTCAAACACAATAAAAATCTAATATCCAACACCAGAATTAACAGATGCAAAGAAACAGAAAACAATGTTTTCTTTTTTATTCAGAAATAGACTATTTCAGAGGAGGGAAATAATGTTTATCTTCTTGAACGTTGATTTAGACGGAACCTTTAGCCTACGTTTGGCAAATTCCCTTATGGATTCAACACTTAGTTAATCGTTGAACTAATTTAGAATATGGATTGCATAGGCCTATATAATCGAGCCACTTTCGTTGAATGGCATTTTTTTCTCCCCAAAACTGTAAAGGTGATATCGACTTTTGCCTGAAACCGCATAAAAGAACTCGATGTTGCTTAATTTTGCTCCATTGTTCGGCACATAAATACATATTGATATATTAGGCTATAATTGAGAAAAAGATTTGTCCTCTTATTAATTAACAACCGAATGCACAATAATATCAGCAGATTATGAAATTGAAGAGAGACACTAATGACAGGGCATTTAAGGGTTTATCTTTTGGGGGGAGGGGGGCGGACCTGGGCGTGATAAGGTGTTTATTAAATGTTTGGGTGTAGAGCTTTTAGAAATATGCTTTCATGGCGAACCCAATGTGTTCTAGATTTGAAAATCGTTATAAAGAGCCCCGTTTGTTAAAAGCAGGTTCCCAGTACGCTGTGGACTCTATAGGCTAAAGCTTAATCCCCACAAATACCAATCCATTTGGTAAAAAAAAGAATGTCTGAGATGTCTCACAGTTGTTGAGAATGGAAATGGCATAACTAATATTCAATTAATGTGGCATAACAATAATCCATTCGCTAGAATGAACATGTATGAATGGCTTGAACATTAAAACAACAACAATTTTTTGCCTATTTCTTTCCAATTTTACAAACTCGATTTGATCTTTCTTAAATATTTTTTTCCCAACAAGAAGTAGCTGCAGATATGATAATCATCAATAAATCAAAGGGGAAATAGGCCTAGTATGATTTTGAGTCATGGCATGGGCCTATGCGGTTTTATTTTGGAGAAAAAACAAGGACGGGGATTTATATTCCTAATATAAGCCTCAGATGTCAATGGTGTCCGAGCTGTAAGGAATATAATAATATGCAACCATAACATGAGCTAATCTTAACTTATGCAGGCTTTATGAGCCTTTTGAGGGCTTGTAAACTTGGCAGATGTCCCAATGATGCAACTTTTCAACCATCGTTGGTTAGTGCAGTGAGCCTATGTGATGACAGGCAGAGACGAAGGGAGCGGACTCAAGAGGACAGTTGCCGTGCGCACTGCAGGAATGTCGTCGGCCTCGAAGGCTCGGACAATGAGGAGACGAATAGTCATTGTAGCACATGGCCGCTAGATGGCAGGGTAGTCAACCTATTGTAACCTACTGTCAAAAGCAGGGGCGTTGCTACGATTTGAGGACATTGGGGCTTAGCCCAAAGCCAGAGGTTGAACCCTAGTAGTGGGGTCTGGGGGTCTCCCCTGGAAGAAAAATATATATAATTCAACAGCTAAATGCATCAATATGGTGGACTTTGAGATGAACATTGAAGGATGAAATATAATAAGAAGGTACATTTTTTTTAAATTATGTCATATTCAAAAGCCAATACAATATAAATACCATACAAGACATTCAGGTAACTTGCACCTCCCCACCTGCCACAGCAGTGGCGTCAGTTCAGCTAAACCTAGGGTATGGCAAAGTGGGGTGTGGGAGGGGGAATGGAATTTTTTGGAAGTTGAAGCTCATTTACTGCATTTATTCACAATTAAAAAACTCTAAAATTCTATTTGGAGAACAGCAAAAACAAACAAAAATGACCCCAGCCATTAATTATCACCGCAATATTAGGTTTAAAGGTCTATGGAACGGCGTGTACAATGTCAACCACTACTCAACCTCATAAATTGACTAATTTACTTGTGGACGGAGCACATACAGTGCAACATGAAATAGATGCATAAAATACGCTATCAAGTCAGAACAAGGCCGACTTCAAATGCCAACATCCATACGTGGCGCGTGAGTTTCAAGTTTGGGGAAGCTATTTGTTTACCATAAAATTGCATGTTCATAATAAAGGATTGCATGCATCTATCATCACATTTGCAGACTAATTTTGTAAGATAGGCTACTTTTCCTAATGTGACGAATAGATTGCATAGTCATAGTTTAGGCTAATAATACAACTCAATCACTGTAAGCTAAACAGACAGTTCTGAACAATGCGTAGTGACAGGGCGGCAGGTAGCTTAGTGGGTAAGAGCGTTGTGCCAGTAACCGAAAGGTCGCTGGTTCTAATCCCCGAGCCGACTAGGTGAAAAATCTGTCGATGTGCCCTTAAGCAAGGCACTTAACCCTAATTGCTCCTGTAAGTCGCTCTGGATAAGAGCGTCTGCTAAATGACTAAAATGTAAATGTAATGTAAATGACAGGGTAGGCCTAATCAGAGATGTTTCTTCTTTCTTTGCACAGGGAAAAATTAGACCTTTTATACAAATATTTAATGCAATTCTACTACACTTTATATGACTGGAGACATAAGCAACATAATTTTTAATATGACACAAATTAGTAGCCTACTGCGCTGAATAAATTGTAGCCTACTCCATCTAATCTAGGCCGACGAAAAGGGGAGACACAAATTGTACAATATGACGGCCATCTAGCCTGGAGGAGGAAATTATTGTCCCCCAAAAAACGTTCAAGTGGTACTGATCCAATGATAAAGACAGTGGCTGTGTCCTAATACCCATACTTGCATCCTTAATAGTAGGCCGTTTGAGTATGTGAAAAAATAATGTTTAATAGTATGAGACATTTCGAAAATCAAGTATACTTTAAATGCCTGGATGTCATACTCATTTCGGCTTTGACAACAGCTGATCAATTAGATATAGGGACGCGCTACTGAAATGAACGAATAGCGGGAAACAACGCAATCGCGCATAACACATTCTCAGTATGCGAAAATACACAAGTGCACCTTGTGCTTTGGACAACAAAAGGCCACTCTAAAATGTGCAGTTTTGTCACACAACACAATGCCACAGATGTCTCAAGTTTTGAGGGAGCGTGCAATTGGGATGTGACTGCAGGAATGTCCACCAGAGCTGTTGCCAGATAATTTAATGTTAATTTCTCAACCATAAGCAGCCTCCAATGTCGTTTTAGAGAATTTGGCAGTATGTCCAACTGTCCTCACAACCGCAGACCATGTGTATGGCATCGCGTGGGCGAGTTCTTTGCTGATGTCAACGTTGTGAACAGAGTGCCCCATGGTGGCGGTGGGGTTATGGTATGGGCAGGCATAAGCTACAGAAAACGAAGGCCACTCTAAAATGTGCAGTTTTGTCACACAACACAATGCCACAGATGTCTCAAGTTGAGGGAGCGTGCAATTGATATGCTGACCGCAGGAATGTCCATCAGAGCTGTTGCCAGATAATTTAATGTTCATTTCACTACCATAAGCTGCCTCTGTCATGTTAGAGAATTTGGCAGTGCCCCATGGTGGCGTTGGGGTTATGGTATGGGCAGGCATAAGCTACAGAAAACGAACACAATTGCATTTTATAGATGGCAATTTGAATGCACAGAGATACCGTGACGAGATCCTGAGGCCCATCGTCGTGCCATTCATCTGCCGCCATCACGTTTCAGCACGATAATGCATGGCCCCATGTCGCAAGGATCTGTACACAATTCATGTAAGCTGAAAATGTCCCAGTTCTTCCAAATGTAATTATATTTACTTTAGGGGAAGCTCATTTTCCCCTAGCCTATTGGACCCGCTGCCTATGCCGATGTCAATGTGAAAGTAACCGGTTCATAAAACAGCTAGCTGCAAGGCTTACAAAGTCAAGCTCATTGAGGAACTCTCCTGGTGGGCGATAGATGAGAAACCACTCCCCCTCCAATACAGCCACTGATTACCAAAACAATAACAGTCACAAATTGCCCTGCCCCTTGATCCTGGTTGATGTTTCAACAGCTATCTGCAAATAATGAGCAGTCAGCAGTTCACACATCAAGTAGGCAAGTGGGAAGACAGGCAGCACTTAAAGTAGATGGCCCTAGCTAGCAAAAAGACAGTACTAGACCACAACAGATAAAGATACAAATGTATACTTATCCCTCCTGGAGATATCCGGAGTCCTCTAGCTATAGAATGGCGTTGGGCCACCACAAGCCGCCAGAACAGCTTCAATGCGCCTAATCATAGATTCTATAAGTGTCTGGAACTCTATTGGAGAAATGCAACACCATTCCTCCACAAGAAATTCCATAAGTTGGTGTTTTGTTGATGGTGGTGGAAAACGCTGTCTCAGGCGCCGCTTCAGAATCTCCCATAAGTGTTCAATTAGGTTGAGATCTGGTACACACACACACACACACACACACACACACACACACACACACTCACATTTTAAACCCCCTATGCTCCTTTGAGACCCCACTTTCAAAGTCACTGAGATCTCTTCTTATAAAGAGACATTGATTTTCTGTACTATATTTAGTGCCCTATTAACACATATTTGTTTTATTATAGTGATAACATGGACCATCACGCTATTTTATTTTATTTTCTATTTTATTTTCTATTTTATTTTCTATTTTGGGTGTATCTGAAACAAATCAGTAAAAATTATTTGATTACGTTTTTGAATCTAGCCTTATAACTAACACAAAGATATGTCAAATCAGGTAATGCCAAATGTAAATCTGAATTAAGTATGCTTTCAAGTGATTGAGATGTATCATACAGGTATTGGAATTATTTTGTTTCATTTTTTTTTTGCAGCCTGCAATTTCGCAATTCGTCGACAATCAAAAGGTTTGGGGCTGGACCAAAAACAAAGCAAAATTGCTACAACTCCCCATTCGTAGACCAATCGTGGGCATCTC